AATTATTCTTTTGCTATAAATTCTTTTAGAATGTTAATCCCAAGCGATATGATGGGATAAAAACTAACAAGTGGTTACACACTCTCTAGTGGGGTTGATGAGACTATTATTGTTTTCGAAAAAACAAAAAAGGAGAAAAAAAAAAGAAGGAATAATCAGGCTATTCAATAAAAGCTGATGCCTATATTTGGGAAATTTATTTCTTGAACATTTTTAACATTGGGAAATTAGAAGACTTGAATTGAAGATAAAATATCTCGAGCCCTGTATGCTGTATCCCAAAGTTCCCTTCTTCTTTTTTTTTTTTTTTTGTCAAACCCCAAAGTTCCCATTTAACTAGTAGTTTATAGGAGCAGTGGGTTTGCTTGGAATGAAACTCCACCAAAAATAAAAAATAAAAAATAAAAAATGCCTAGGTTTCTTTACCTACCATTTCAATTTAGAGCCATACTTTTCTTTTCTTTTTTTTAATGCATTTTTGTTTTCTGGAGGCAAATTTACACCCATACTTGAAGGATATTTTATTTGATAAATTCGATACGGTCGTCAGACATAACAACTTGAATAATGAGGATACATTTTCCATGCCTGTTTTGTTCAGAATTCGCACTGATTTCTTTCACATTGACTTAATTGAAAAAACGACAAATCTCTTAGCCATAGTGTAGACGGCGAATCAATTTTGAAGCAACTTACCCTCCACCGACCACTTCCTTGTAAAATCCAAAACCTACCAGAAAACGAAAAGACACCAATAACTGCAGTCCTCTTAACTTTTCGGGTTGGTTTTCCCTACATATATACATATATATATGTGTGTATATATACATATATATATATACATATGAAATTGGCGTTGGTTATGTATACTATTATGGGGCACTCTACTAATTTTTCTTTCTCGGGCGATACTAGTTTGTGTTTCTTCTCAAAATTTGAGCTGTTTTGTTTCCTTGTATATTTGCATTATAATAACCTGTGAATCCTTTGTTACATGTTGTGGTCTTAGGTATAGTTTTGAAAGCTATTACTTATAATCTTAATATATTGCTACTTTAGTCTATGGTAAACTGGTCACTAGCAGCTTGGTCAGATGCTCACTCGAGTTTGGTCAAAATCAAGCTCGAATATGCTCATTAAAGCCAATGAGTTAAGCTCAAAGTGTAGTGATATTATGCTTGAATGCTCATCAACTAGGACGATAAATATAAATATGTTAGTTTTTTAATATCTATGTAAAATTAATAAAATGTTTGTGATTTTGAATAATTTACATGTTTTGCCTATAAGTAATTGAGCTCAAACTTGAGTAAAGTCAAATAATTATTCAGCTCAAGTTTGAATAGGGTAATATTCGTGCTCAAATTGATTACAAATCTTTAGTTAAATGGAGGAAAATTAAACAAACAGAGTTGGCACTTATAAAAAGGAAAATGTTATTTTACACTCCCTTTTTTGTTATTTGCACTCCCACTATCATTTTTATTGTATAGTTTTAATTTATTAGACTGTATGATATAACAAATGGTGAGAGTGCAAATGACAAAATATGGAGTGCCAATAACATTTTCCTGTAAAAATGACACAAAAATTTCAACAAAACAAAATAAAATAGATACGCAGAAACAAATACAATATGGAACTCATAATTTTTTTTTTCTTCATCACATAGGTAGTAATTTTACAAAATTCTAACTATGCAACTTTATTTACTTGACTCCCAATTTAAGTTTCTATTTTGATTGTGTCTAGAGGTGTCAAGATGAGTGATTTAGGCAGGTTTGAATGGGTCAGAATTGAGTAATGAGTATAATTATGTCAACTCATTTAATCAATGGGTATAAGAATACCTAGTTATCCATTTATGAGTCACTTAAAATTCTAATTATTTTTCTATTTTTCGCATGTCATTTGACAAGAAATAACGGTATTTTATTGTTATTAGATTGATGAGAAATTCAAATATATTTACTTAACACTAAAGTTGAGTTTAAATGTATAGTAATTTTTAAATGAATGAGTCGAGTCAACCCATTACCTACAAATTAAATAGATTTAATTGGATATCATTTAGATCCATTCAAAATTAATGGATAAATTTGAGCGGGTTATTGATTGACGAATTTGGATATGAATTGTGATTGACACCTCTAATTCTGTCCTTCTTGATGCCTTCCGATTTCCATCACTTAGCCAAAAACTCAAAGCCTCAAAGTTTTCCTCTACATCAAAATAATTGGTTATTAACCCTTTTCTCCCAACAAAATTTGGCATCACTCCTACGTTTGAACTTTCTAAGTAATTAATGTGGGCTTCTAATTAAGGCCTAAGTTGTCCTGTCGGCAAGCTTGCATCACATCCTGCAGACATCACACGCATTGTCTATTACGCATTCTTATGGAAAGCAACAATTCGGTTCACTAAATCTTCGATCAAGAAATAGATATATATAATTTCTTTACAAGAAAATCCACATTCCTATAGTTTTAATTCACACCCCTAATGTATAATGATTTGTATCACAAATATTGATAACTTATATTATTAGCATTAAAAGTTATATCGGGTATAGATTTAGGGTGTAAAGGCGTGAATTTAGTACCATCCTTCTTTATTTTCTTATATATACCAATTTACATGCCTATATTATAACCTTTTCCCATAAATTTTCATAGTAGGAGAGGATTGGAATTTAAGAAGCGATGAGAGACAAAGAAGATTAGAAGCCAAAACCTCTAAATTTTGATACGTCAACCTTGGCCACTTATACTTATTATGGATATATATATATTTCTATTTATATAGACACACACACACACAAATAGGCACATTTAGTATAAAGTAATAGTAATTGAAAGTTCTCTTATTTTTCCTATCAAGAAAGAAAAACTAATTAGTTTTTTAACTTCAACTTTGATTAACCATAAAAAAATTTAGATTAAATTAATTAACCAATTATTTGAATCGAATTCCAATCTTAATTCAACTTAGTTCCAATTTGATAAATTTTATTTCTGTTTTAATTTAGATTGGAACTTCACATGAGTAAAATAAGGTTTCGACTTAGATGGGGAATCACTATTGATTCCTTTTTTTTAAAAAAAAAAGAATTAGATTTCAATTACATTATTAGTCTAACCGATTATCAAGCCAATCATTCTCACCCCTATAAATAAGAATGTTATCTATGCATTTTTCATGTAATTCATAAGTCCTCATTACTGCACTTGAATTCAATTCTGTTATTTGAGTCATTCCTGTTTCCTACCACCGACGCTCAATAGCCAAAGTGGCTACAAATATTGCAAAATCTATACATAGGCCCCCCTCTACAAAGACTGCATTTGCTGCAGTTGGAGGCCTCACCTGTGCATGAATAATAAATCCAAACAACATAAACAGCTCATGCACAAAATACTCAGTACCCACCACCCATGAACGAAAAAATGACCAAGTAAAAGAAGAGAAGCAGCAGGATCGTCTCCTCAAAAACAGTACCAAGCTGATCTCAAAAGAAGTCTTCTTCCTGAAGTAAATCAATTTCGAGGGCAGAACTTTTCGTTCCCCTCCTTTTTAATCTTTCCTCACCACTCCCGACTCAGCTTTCTTTTAAAAAAAAGGTTTCTTCCCTGCTAATGGCTCCTTTTTCTTTACATTAATTTTCCCTTAAAAAATTGCAACATGTCTTGGGGAAAAGCTCCTCTTTTTGCTAAGCCACATTATTAACCAAAGCAACCCTGAAACCCGAATTTGGGGAACTCCCATGGTAGTCATATTATTCGTGTTGATTTGTTAATCCCAATTTTAAGGCACTCGGAGCGTAGTCATATGATTTGTGTTGATGATCCGTTAAATCAAGTCCGGTTAGAATCCGGGGAATGTTGGATTGAGCGGTAGGGTGAGAGGGATTATAAGTAGTATGTCTTGAATTCAGCATCTCCTACCTAAAAAAACCAAAGAAAAAGGGTAGCAAAAAAAAGTCCGTTTAGAACTCTAATACTTAGTGTTAGGATTGCATTTGTTGGGGAGTTTTTTTTTTTTTTTTGGAGAAGATGATGTGAAATTGTGTAAGGAATATTAACAAAAAAATCTAAATTTTTTTTTTAAAAAATTACAATTCAAACGAGGCCTAAGTCCATCTAAAATTCTAATGATTAAATAATGATTCCAGTTCTGAATTTGACAATGGAAAAAACTCTAAGAAAACTCTCCGGGTCATTAGGTCAATCCCAGTGGTCATACAGATTCTAAACCTTCAAAACCTTATATGGAGAAAGAAATTAAAACAGAAGAGCGTGGAAATAAGCAGAAGCATTGAACTCTTGTTGATGATGATGTCTGTATCAACTAATTAATTATGTCTCTATCAACCAAATTAGGCGCTCAGATAACATTACACTTAGTTTGGATGTCAAAAAAGTTAAATATTAGAAATTGTATCTTAATTATTAGAATTAGAATCAGATTGCTTTTTGTATTTAGAATGAATTTTTAATATAAAAATCTTTTAATTGTGCACTTGTAGTATGATGAGGATCTATCCAGATTTTGGATACTTCATTTTCTAAAAACCCTTTTTTTATAATTATTACAACATCGCAACACTCTGTGATATTTGAGAAATTTTTTTTATTATAATATTAAATATAACGCTTTTTTATGACGTGATGTATATAACATTTATAACGTGACGCTCGTAATCTTAAACATCATTGAAAAAAAATAAAAAAGTTACTTGAACAACTTATTTATGATGTAAATGAATTATTTTTTTCCTAAATAATGAGTATTCAAACACCCAATCATGTAGCTATAGGTAATACTAACAATTATCCTCTAGCTAAGTTCTATATAATTTTTTTTTTGGAGGTATTTACACTTTTAAGTAACTATTAATTGAATAATTTAAATTTTACCCCTATAGTTGGTATGGGGCTTTAAAGAAACCGACGAAGTAAATATTCGTTCTTTAAACCTTTGTTGTGACCTGCGAGGGAATCAGAGTCGTCCTGCTGGCTACTGCTGCTCCCCAAGTAAAAGCCCCCATCAGTTTACCACAAAGGCGATAGTGATATCTATTGAGAGAGAAAGGCGAGGCAAAGGAGACTAGAAAGAGAGAGGGAGCGGGCATATGATATGAGGAATGGGATTCCCAGGAAAAGCCAAAACCACCTCCTCCACCGGCACCGGCAGTGACCATCGAAATTGGGGGATGGGCTTCCTCTTCATTCTTTTCCCTGAAGACGAAGACAGTAATAATAATGATTCTACTTCTGCTGCCTCCTCCATTATTAGCAAGAAAAGGCATCAAAATGTTTTCAATCCTTTTTCGTCTTCTTCAAATTCTTCTTCTTCTTCTTCTTTACCTTTACCAATATTCAGACGCTCAAACTCAAGTCATCTTCTCTCCAGAGCTCAATCCACAATTTCCATCTGTGCACTTCTATTCTTCATCACTTTTCTCCTCTTCACCCTCTCCACTTTTGAACCTTCCTCCCACTTTACCCCCAGAAGACAGCTGTCTCAGTTTTCTTCCTCTACAGTTTCTCGTAAATACAATAATGATTACAACAAGAAATTCAAGAATAGCTCAGCATCTGATCCTTCCCTGCCACATGCATTGCAAGGGATGGGAACGTTGTACAGAAGGGGAACAAAAGCCATGAATGACCTCGTTGTTGCTCATGTTTCAGAGTCCTTGAGTTTGCATGAATTGAAATTGTTCTTAAGGCTGTTGTACAAATCTTCTCTTACCTCCCGAGCAGACCTCTTGTTCATATTCCCTTCAAAATCGGCTTCTTTTGACTCGGCCATTCTCGAGGAGAACGACTCGTTCTCGCAGCTCGTTGATCACTATAAAAAGTTGAACTCAACTCAGAATTTGAGCTTGACCCAGTTCGTGAAATCGAGTAAAAAGGATAAGCAAAGCGGGGAGCCAATCTGGGGAAGGAGAATTCGGAGCAATTTTAGTGGAGGAAACGAGACTGAGTCGACTCGGCTGAGTTATGGCTCGGTGGTGAGCTTTGATGTTGATGAGCTTGACCCGGAGAACTCGTTAGCCGGATTTCTGGACCATGTTCCAATGAGTTTGAGAAGATGGGCGTGTTATCCGATGCTACTGGGCCGAGTAAGGAGAAATTTTAAGCATATAGTGCTCGTTGACGCGAAGGAATTGTTGTTAACAGGTGACCCGCTGAGCCGAGTTAGGAGCGCAAGTCCCGAGTCAGTCTACTTATCGATGGTGACTCAGACTGTTTCCACTCGACACGGTAAGAAAAACTCGGAGAAAACCCAGGTCAGTGTCAACCCGGCAATAATAAGAGGCGGGGCTCGAGGGGTCAGGCGATTGTCCAATTCAATGCTCACCGAGATTGCTAGAGCAACCATGCAACGAAAGAAGAAGAACCCGGTGACTGAGTGGGGACTCTTCAATCAACTCGTTGGGAATGAGTTCTTACTGAAGAACGTAAATTTGATTAAGTCAACCGAGTAAATACCAGAACTGAGTTCACTCACTGGGTCGAATTCGAAACCAGGTTCCCCTTCCTCGTCGATATCCAAATTTACAGTGGTTAGACGCGGTAAACAGTAACTTTCATGTAAATTCTAGTGTTTTGAAAGATATATTGTGTTCTTCCCCACTAGAAATTTCAGTTTATAGAAGTAATTGTTTGTAGCCAAAGGACATAATTATAATTATTAGGACAGGAAATTAAAGATCTGAATTTTTTTTTGGTTGATGAAATAGTAGTGTTTGTTCGCATACTGATCTGGTGAATAAAATTTCAATAGTTTTGTGGTAATATGTTATTTTTTTTCATTAATTTTCTCTGCAGTAGTAGAAATGATTATGGTAATTTTCATTAGCAAGGTAGGCCTTGTGACATAGCCACGCTTGAACAGTATGCTTTTCCTTTAAGTAACTGGAGCTTTTGGTTAAAAAATAATCTCCAATGTAAGAAAGATAAAAAAGAAACTTTTTACATAAAAAAATCTCAAAATTAATAAACTTTGCTTGATAGAATTTAAGAGCAGAAAGATAATTTTAAGCTGATCAAAAACGACTTGGATATTGGTGTTCAAAAGAAATTAGTGATTAATTCTTGTTCGTTTGGATTGTTATTTTCTGGACTTTTTGTTAAAAAAAAAATGCATTAGAATGATTTTAATATATGTGAGATATAAAGATAATTGAAAAATGTGCTCACGAAAAATCTAAATTTCTTTTAAAAAAATGAAAATCCGAACAAAGTTGGGTTTTTTTTTTTATCAACACAGGGAGTATTCCAATTTTGCCAGACTAATCTCCTTGCACCCATGCATCCCGCCTCCAAGGATATACAAGCGGTAGCGAACACGGGACTTCGGGACCAAAGAGGCTTCTCCGAGACCATCCGAGCCAATTCCAAAGACAACAAAGTTGGGGGTTTGGATGGCAACATTTTAGTGGATTGGGGCCGAAATGGAAATTGGATAGGGTATCAAGGTGCCAGAATATGAATGTGGTTAATGTTCATCCGCCAACTGTGACCTTCTACTGCAGCATTGATTGTTCATCTCTGCCAATCGTCATCACTCTCAAACAATTATAGCCCCATATTGTTTTCCTCTTGTGTTTTGGCAATTTCTACCCTAGCAAAACCAAAAGTTGCACATCTAAATTCCTTACCAATATTTTGTCCATCAAAAATTGCATAAGAAAAAAAAAGTTCATTTTAATATGCATAAGAAATTTACGGAACTCCATAGTCAAAAAAATTCACTTAGGAGCCAACTTTCAGTTATAACACAACTAGCCCATCTTTACACTAATACGCAAGTCAAATTGCTAGTGGGCAATGGCCAAATGCAAAGAAAGAAGTACTGTTATGTTATGTTATGTCGGTTGCTTCTTGTTCTTCTTCTATTCTCCTCCTTGCAATTTTTTTGTGGTTTTCTTATTTGCTAGTGGTATAATTAATTTACTACTACTGGTGATCCACAATGGCTGGTTTGCTTTTTGGAATTAAGGTAATCTACTAATAGTTTTTTAACGCACACTAGAATTAAGTATTTAGCCTGAAGATTTTGTAGGATCTCTACAACAGTCTTGATTGATTAGTAAGTCACATGTGGACGGTGTAAAGTTTCAAGTAAATGTTTAGAAAACCGTTTGCAAGATTCATTCAACATGCAATCACTACTACTGTCTGCTATTAGTAACAGCACATTACAAGGAGAAACAATTACTAGCAAATAACATATATAATTAGTTCAAGAATTCACCTGCAAAAAGACAGACTAAAAATCACAAGGCGTCTGAACGATAAATACAAATATGAGAATATCTAAAATCAAAGAAATGGAACATCGAGAACTAGGACAGGTCGAAAAGGTGAATTAGGGCATTTTTCTCGACTATAAGTTTTACAGACGTTTTTTGTTTTCGTTATAGAGAATTAAAATCAGTTAAAACTATTATTAGTTAAATTTAAGATTCTAACTTTCTTAGTTATTAAAAATGCTAAAGTCCAAAAACAAAAATAAACAATAATATCTAAAAAAAAAATCTGATTATCCAAAATTAGAGTATAGAAAATCAAGTAAAATAATCAAAACAAGAACTATCTTATAATCTAACATAAAGAAATCTTGGCTCTAAGTGTTACCTAACTACCATCATATGCAAAAATCCTACACTACATTTGCCTACCTTTCAAGAAGTTGACAAAAATAAAGACAAGAATGCTCTTAAGGTGGAGAACAGAGTGAAGGAACTTGTATATATATAAATTAAAAATGGAGGGAGATCTTGGGGAGAAAGAGAGCTGGCAAATATGATTATAGATCTAGCGAAGACTCATGGAGGGAATGTGAGCCACCTACTACTACTCCTCCTCCTCCTCTTCCCGCCCGGACCCGTGGGCGGAAGTCGCAAGCATTGATTTTTTTTTTGTTAATTTATTGGGGTCAACCTGGATCAAAGCATTGATTGATTCCACATGATTTGGGGCCTTTCCACCGCGTTTGCGCTTTCTTCCTGTTTTATTATGATGGGGAAGCATAAAAACGTGCTAACTAACGACTGATAACGCGCTCTTCTGCTTTTTAAACTTTGCCCAGCGCCAACCAAACACATTCATTATTAATTACTCCCCTTCCAGGCAACAGACGAGATCAAAGAGACCAAGATTTTCCTTTTTTTCTTTTTTTTTTGAGCAAAACCATGTAATTCTGACCCACAATTTATGGCAAAAAAAAAAAAATCTTAGTTTTGTTAGACTCTTCTTTCCTCCTAATTCTCAATTTTAATTATTTTCACTACTAAAATAGAGCATTTTCGTCAAGAAATCAGTTTGTTTGGATTGTAGTTTATTTGGCAATTTTTATTTGCTTGCATCATCAACGCATTTTTATTTGCTTTCTTTTTTTTTTTTTTTTTTGAGCTGAACCATGCAATTCTGACCCACGGTTTATGGCAAAAAAGAAACAACTTAGCTTTTGCTAGACTTTTTCCCCCTAATTCTCAATTTTAGTTGTTTTCAGAACTAAAACGAAGCATTTTTGTCAAGAAATCAATTTGTTTGGATTGTAGTTTATTTGTTAATTTTTATTTATTTGCATCATAAATACATTTTTATTTACTTTCTTTTTTTTTTTTAGCAAAACCATGTAATTATGACCCACAATTTACGGTAAAAAAAAAAAACTTAGCTTTTGTTAGACTTTTGCCCCCCTAATTCTCAATTTTAATTGTTTTTCCACAAAAAGGAAGCATTTTCGTTAAGAAATCAATATTCATAGTTGACCATGGTTTAACTTGTCACGTACCCTTACTATTTTAATCTTCATTGTAGTCGAATATCTAGTGTAAAATAGAATAGAGAATGTGTATGGATATCTAATTGAAGGTGTGTGGATATAATTTTCCAAAAAATATATATTTATTAATGAGATTAAAAAATCCTTGTAAATTGTTATTCAAATCTAAATTATGGAAAAAAAAATTCAATATTCAACTCTGTTCGAATTTGCTCTTTTTGCTCAGTTGACCCCTTTTTACTGATATATTTGTTGTTCTATTTCTTGCTATTTCATAAGTTAATTAACATAATACATACCAATATTTGACCTTTCCTCCTCTAATCCTGGTTTAAAGTCATTCTTAAGCAAGGCAATAGATAGGCATTGAGATTCGCACATTAAATAGGAGGAGAGATGGATTTGGTGGCTTAAACAAGGAAGTCTAAGTGAGAATGTGAAATGTTTCAAATTCACGTCTTCCAACTTACTCTATAAAGAGATTTTAAAAATAACAATATTAATTATTAATGATGTGCGAGCGTGAGCACCTAGGCCGAATCATGCTTATTACTCTCTGATTAACACTCATATTTTCCGACTTCGCATACGATCCGGATCGCTCCTATAGATTCGGATCGTACGATCCTACGATCCGGATCACGATTTTGACAACATTGATTAATAATAGTTTCCAATCGATTATCGATCTGTCTATTTATTAGTATAAGCCCTACACTTGGCTGCTATAGAATATTTTTTTGTTTTATTCTTTTCTTTTTATTTTTGGAAAAAGGCAGGGCTTTCATATTATTGGCTTTGTGATTTAGAAGCCTATTACTGTAACTTTATCAATAATTAAAGAGTCTGAATAAGGGATGCCCAACTTCAAGTGTTATATTTTTTGAAAGATAAAGTTAATTGAAAAAAGTATATAAATGTAAGGGAGGGTAATAACTGTAAGTGTGTGTATATATGATAAGTTGAATAGAATTTAGGTGTATTAACGAGTATCTATTGGACACCTGTTAAAAAAATCTTTTCTTCATTAGTCTTATTTTTTTAAAAATATAATACCTGAACTACGTCTTAACACACCCTTACTTTTAAAGTAGATTGATGATGTGGTATTTGCTTTCCTTTCCTAGCAATTCTTATATTGAATAAAAATTGTTCATGATTTTTACTGGTCATGACCGACTGATCTTCATTTTTTTTTATTACTTGCTTTGAAAATTCAAAAGTAAAACAACAAGAATAAAGATTGTACCAGGTGCAAATTCAAACAAGTTTTTTCACCTTGATCAACAAATCATGGAAACTAATAAAAACTTACGTTTGAAAGCATTACATCCAAACACTTGGGGCCACCACGTAGCTGCTTAAGGTTCTTTTTTCTTTCTTTTTTTGATCTTTTGAAAAAAAGAAAAGTCCCATAACCACATGTGGTACGTACCATTAAAAATTATTTTGGTATATCGCATTATTCGGAAAGAAGTTTTTGTTTCTATTGAAAAAAAAACGTTTTCCAATTATCCTTTCATCTTCTTAATTACTGCCTTATCTCACATACAATCACCAAAAAAAAAGAAAAAAGAAAAGAAACAGTATTATTCAAAAAAAAAAAGTTTAAATTATCTTCTATCCAAAACATACTCTACAATTTTCATTACTTCAATTGGATCATGTCCCTGAAAATAGCGGTTTGTACAGAAGGAGGGATGTCATAATCTGATTCAACAATCATCTCATGGTTTTGGATTGTTTAATCCAAATTCGTAAGTAATTGCTGATTGATTCTAGTCATCCATAGTGCTTCTTTTTCTGCTCATTAGCCGTCAAGTCCAAAAAGTGTTTTTTATTTTTTTTTAATCATTGTTAGAAGTAATTGAATGATAAAGTTCCTTTATCTCTCGTTTCCTTCTGTCAAATGAAAATTTAGATTTTTGGTTTACATATGCATTGCGTGCTAGTACAAGTTTTACTCATTCGTACATAGGTTTAGTGAGTAAAATATTGAATT